TTGTGTGGCTCCAGGCGGCAACGCCAGGGAAGTGCCAAGTGACAATAGTGAAATGATCAGGATAATAAACTATTATGGGCGATTTGCTATTAATTATAATAATTATATTTGGCGACTTTTAAGAAATATGCACCAGCCCGTGTGTACACGACGTTTGGAGCCGAATCGTATTTGTCGAGGGAGTGTCATCGGCGTGCTCGGGAGGTCCCCAATGACGTCCCCGGGGGCCCGGACGACATCGGCACTACCGGATTTGGACTCAGCGTGCGAGAAAATCCCCGGACACAATATTTCAGTCGTCCTGGTCGTTCCGAGGTTGACGGTCGGTCGGTCGGTCGGCCAAACCGTGTCTTATTTTGACAGCCCCAGATAGAGGGCGTTCTAGTTGCACTGAAGATCCAAGTGTGCGAATGTCGCACACCTATAGGTGAGTGAAAAATTTACACACCGGCACGTGTGCAACTAAATTTTCGCACACCTGCAAATGTGTGAATGAACATTCACACACTTGGGTTTGGGTAAATGGCGACCTACTTAAGTATAGGCCTAACGAATATCTATGCGCTCCCCTACAATAAGTGTGTGAGAACATTGTCGCACACCTCTAGGTTGTGAGAATTTTTCTACTCCCCTGCAGGTGAGTGACATTCGGACACTTGAATTTATAGTGAAGCGCTTCTGATCGGAAGAGAGTGCGTGAGAACTAGCAGCAAATAAATTTTCTTAAATTGCATTTCGGCAGTATACACCGGGTGTCCGGGAGCATACGCGGCAGCTCGATCGGCCGCTTCCCCTCGCCACCGCCACTCCACCCGCTCCCCCTCTGTTAGCCAGTGCGTAGGTAACCCATCGAACTGCCGCATCCAGGACAACCGGCCGCGTGACCACAATGTGATCACGTTCCCAAGTGAACACGTTGAGTGCGGCGGGGGAAGGCAATCCTAGGTTATTGAGACCACATTGATTGGGACCCACGGTGGGTCACGCAGTCACGCCGCACACAACGTGTTAAACCCAGGGGTCCGTAACTTAACATAACAACTCGCATAACAAACAAGCATGCGCTCTGAAGATCGATTAATTCCAAGTCGATAGGAAGTAATTGTAATTTTACAACTTCAAATTGTAATGTTACGGACTCACATCATGGAAAATTTTCCTGTAAACTTACGAGTATTTTTCACAGTACACATCAGTGTACGTCGCTCGTTTAAAGTCGTTTTTGTGACACAAAAAAAAAGTCATCAAAGATAGAACCAAAACGCGAGAGCAATATTCTCTACTAGATAAGCAGAAAACTCAAAGTGACTGAGTGGAATAAGAAGAGGAGAAGGGATGGAGGTGAACGAAAGTAAAGAGTTGCCCATGGGAGGGGGTACAGCGGCGGATGTCTCAGTTTGTTAGCTTTGCTTCTAACCGTGATGTATGACGTGTACTGCGCCGCTCTGCGCAGCCATGCAGCTCGAACTGCTCGGCCGCGAGCCGACCGTTGCCTCACATATCCGCGCGGTGGCGCACTTCTATCGTGGGCATCGCTAGCCGCGGTCGGGTTTGGTCGGCGGAGATGCACTAAGAGGATGACACTCATTTCTCTGAGTGACGGCACCAAGCAGCTTGACTACTCTAAAAATAAAAGTGTGTGACATTCCAAAACGTAAAAGCGACGACGCAGTGTTGGACGGCGTCGTTTCACACTCACAATTGCGTGAAAGACAGAACACGCATGGTAGAGTGTAGGACATAGTCATGTCAAACACTCTTTTATGAGTTAAATTTTATCTCAAGCACTTTTATACCTAGGTAAACGTATCCTGTAGACCACGTCTGTAAAAACAAAGGTACGGAATAGCCGATATAGCACATTTTAATCGAAATATTTATGGCAAATGCATTATATACAGTGTTTTCTGTAATAACGCAATAACAGAGTTATCGCATTTCATTATGCGATAGAAAATTATCACACTTTCTTTTGAGATAATTCTATCTTTATAAAATGTATAGCATTTAATTTGCACTTACTAGTTATCGCATCGTGAGCGTGAGAGCGAATGGAAATCGCAAAACGAGTTTTGGCAAGATTTTGGATTAATATTATCGCAAATTCGAATTCATTCAGTGTCCTTGGGCAAACATCAGGTGTTTGCTTCAGAAGTTTACAATAAGACTTGTAATGTAAAGACACGACTTTATGTGCAAATATTTCCACTGTTGAGCAAATTCAAATTACTGCTAAGATGAAACGATTTCAGGGAGCAGAGATTGGAAACAACTTAATTATTTTAAAACAGAAACAAATCATTAAGAGACGTACACTCTAAATGTAAAAGGACAATTTTGTCAATAGAAATGGAACCGATTCGTGCACATCCAGAAAGAATGCAATTTTGTTCCTAAATCTAGACAAATTGTGTGAGCACTGAAAACAGCGTAATAACGCATGTTATCACTATAGATGATAACGCGGTGAACATTTCAGTTTTTGTGGAATATTTTCTAAACGAGCTCTGAGATTTAATTTTCGAACGCGCTATCGGATTTCTCCCGAAATTTCCGATCAAACAAGCCCACATGTGATAGGGTTCGGAGTTCAAATGATAATACGGAATAAGACGTGTTCTTTGAGAATCTTTGTTCAGAACCCATCAAATGTAGGCTCGTTTGATCGGAAATTTTACAGAAAATTCAATGGTGCTTTCAAAAATTAAATTTCAGCGCTCGTTTAGAAAATATTCCACAAAAACTGAAATGTGCACCGCGTTATCATAGTGATAACATGCGTCATTACACAGTTTTTACTGAGGCTTTACTATTTTGTCCATAATTTAAGGAACAAAATTGCATCCTTTCTGGATGTGCGCGAATCGGTTCCATTTCTATGGACAAAATTGTCCTTTTACAATTAGAGTGTATCATAATCCTGCCAAGAGAACTATTTTTAATAAAGAATATTTATGCAGCGACGACAACTGTAAAGAAGTCAAAACCAGCCAGAATTTTCAGTGATTACCGCTGAGAAGAAGCGCGTGACATTAGCGACCGTTTTCTCCAAAACTTCTGTAATTTGCCAATCCAGTTCAACGGAGTAACACGCGCTTGACTTCAGCGAGGGCCACTAGCTTCAGCAGCGGCAGAAGCAGCAAGACGAGGCCACGGGAAGTATCAGAAACTAACGTGCTGGCACGGCGCTCAGGCCGGAGGAGGCGGCGGGTCTGCACTCCCTTGCACTCTCACGGAGCGTCTCGAAGGCGCCGTACCATCCGACCCTCACGGCGCTTGCGGGCGCGGCACCTCCAGGACAACCACGGCTCAGTCCATCAAAAACACTTCATCGAACCTCGACTTCCGCCGCTCGTTGTGATGTTTCGCGAGTGATACAGGAGTCAAAGATTTTGTCATTTTTATTATTCACCCCGACTACTTTTAAACCAATGGACACTGACTGTCTACCAGGCGACTATGTTAAAAAATGTGATGTCATAGCTGTACCGCATACAGGGACTCCGTCATCGAGTGACCTGGAGGACACATGGCTCGACACATGGCATTATGCAGTATGGCACATTACATGGCACATGGAACACGCTTGTACTCGCTTGTAACTTGGAACGGTTACACTTGTTACAGTCTCACTCGTGCACACTAAAATCTTATGAACATTTTTATTCATAGCTTACTGAGTTCTGTAAACATGCTCGCGCTTACGCATATTTTTAATACTCCAGTATGATGAAATTTTTTCATACTGCCGCGTATTTAAAAAATGCGCATAAGCGCAGCTTGTTTACAGAACTCAGTAAGCCATTAATAAAAATGTTCATAAGATTTTTGTGAGTGATGAAGTGAAAATATGGTGAGGCACAAAATGCCAACCAGAAGTGCACAATTCGACCAGCAAATACGACCACAAGGGTAAGAGCGTAGAATACTTTGCACATTTCCTTTCGTTAATTCTAGCAATAGGTTGAATGGTTCGTTTGCAGTTCCGCCCCGTTTTACTTTCGTAATCATTGACTAGTGAGGCGATTGCTCTCTCATCCGCTGTCTGCGGCTGAAATATTTCTTCCTCGTCAGGAGGGAAGTGCGTTTACAGCACTATTACGCAAGCCTTAGGTAAATAAAAAAAACTGTAAGCAACTCAAAACAATCTGCACAGAAATATTCTGATACTTCTGTACATATATCATCGGTAGACGATTTTTTTAAAGAGGCAAAAGACATCCCGTTTGGTTTTTGAGATATTCCTGAAAAGTGATTCTCTATCTAATGGAGAAACCAGTCCGCGGAAGGGCGAAGTTATCGGAAAATACCTCGTATAAAATCAGAATTCTTACTTAGATATTGTCAAGTCATAATGAATACCAGGGTCGGGAAAACCTTCGTGGATTTTCAGTTTATTGTTTCCTAGGGAAAAACATTTTCCTACCTCGTCTGCCAGATGCGAGTTCTTAATGCGCTGTTAAGTATAGCTATCGACAGCAAGAGATAATGCGCTAGGAAAGTGTACTAATTTTCATTATCCGTTATTGTCCGCCCGTGCGGCTCGAGTCCGGCCCGATCAAACATCCCACTGCGCAGAATACGCAACGAAAGGCACAACCTGTATGGGGGGTGAACTATAAACTGATCTAGGCGTAATGGGTAATGGGTGACTCACATCAAGTGGCACGAGTGCATGCGTCGGAAGGAGAGGGGGAGATTGGGGAGGGGGTGGAGAGAGGGGGAGAGGAAAGGAAAGGGAGGGAGAGAGGGAGGGAGAAAGGGAGGGCGAGAGGGAGGGAGAGTGTGAGAGAGAGTGAGAGTGTGTGAGAGACAGAGAAGCAAGGGGAGCGAGAGAAGGGGAAGTAGGGGTGACGCCGACGCCTGGGAGAGGTAAGGGGGCGTCTCGAGGCAAGTCGTCTCAGGCCCCGCCGGAGGGGCGGGGCGTGGGGTACGGGGCGTGGGGCGCGGTTCGCGTGGCGGGCGAGGCCCACCAACAACTGCAGCACCAGGCGAGCTGCTCCGAGAGATCACGGACCCCACCGCGTCCCTCGAGGGAAGGCGTCCAGGACCGGCTGCACCATTCGGCATCCAACTTTGGTGGGCGCCGGGCCGACTCCACTCCAGCGCAGCGGTGCTCGACCCGAACTGACTCATCGTCGACCTTCCTGGCCATCTTCCCTGTCGGAATAACTCCAGCAGGTTGGTATCGTGTGGTTGTTGTCATCTGAAATCAAAAGAATAGAGGCACGTTAAAGTAGGACTGACGCCTGTTGTGGGCTGCATTCGGTGCTGTATGTGGAGCGTGTCTGTCCCTGTCAAATCGAAAGTGAAACAAGTGCGGATCAGGTCGGGGTCACATCGCCTTCTAGACACATAAGCACTTCTGTTAGAATGCAGTTTCAGTTTTCTCAACTCAAAATATCTTCTGTATCAGCAAACCAATCACATTTTGGGATATATTATGCATTCCTTGAAAAAATATACGCCTCGAACAAACCTAGCTGTGTACGAAAAGGCTCTGATAAGCGGTCAGCAAATGAAAAGTAAGTCAGAAAATTTGATCAATTTATGCTATAGGAAGAAAATGTTTCGAAAAAACATAGATTGTAATGCATTTGGAGCTTTAATTGGCTGAGCGATTAGCGAAGCCCATTACTCCAGTGACCGGAAAAGTTTCATTCTGTTTGTTTGTCTGTGTGTTTGTTTGTTTGTTTGTTTGTCCGTCTGTCCGCACGATAACTCGAGAAGGAATTGAGATAGCGACCTGGTATTTTCAGGGTCGTTTTGTATCATAAAAAGACAGATCGAGTTCGAAGATGAGCATTCTAGCTCAAAAATTGGCTTTTTAAAAAATCAAAAACTACAGGTCACAATGTGTATTTTTATCAAATATTTTTTAATGTGTTCCTAAGGGGTAACTCGTCAAAGTAGAGCCCTATGGGCGAAAATTTCGTCCGTTTGGCTCTATCTTGTACCGTTTAGGTGCTAGGGGGCATTTCGTGGCGAAAATGAGGTGAAAATGATCAAATGGTCGATTAAATCGTTAAAAAACAAGGTAGATGTACGCCAGACCACGTCTCGCGTAACAGGCTTCGCGATATCTCACGAAACACTGTTACGCTGCGACGCGCCTGGCATACATCTACCTTGGC